GAAAGCAATCAGAGGAGTTCCATGATGGGTTCTTCAGGGAACATTCTCGGGGTAAACAGTGATGATCACCCTGTTTATGGAGACCTTAGAACACCATGAAAGAGTAATCCGAGAATTTGGCAAACAGGGATTCATCACTAGGGAAATCTTAGACCGTGGAAACTCTGACGATCGAAGCTCGGAATCGTTCGCCAAGAGTTTTGACCATTGCTATCCAATGTTGTGGGTTGGCTCAAACAGGCGGGAAAACAGTGGATGTTTCTCGAGCGGTCCCCTAACATGCTTCGTCCGAAAGAAATGGAGAGGGCTGGACTGCCCGGGATCTGAGTCTGGCAATCACCTCAGGGCGGTTCTTCTCTCGAAGCCAAAGGGAAAACCCATCAAACGTCGTGGGGGCCGGGGGGGGCAACCGATGAGACTTGAACTAGGCGCCAGAGGATTTCAAGTACCTGGGGTACTTGGTCTCCAAGGCGCTTCGGGCGAAACCGCGAAACCCGCAAGGGGACGCACTTGCAAAATGCGCCCGAGGGCAGCCGGAGGAAAAGCACAAACACTATGAACATGTCCGAAAAAGCCCACACTTTGACCATTGCATCGAATAGGGTTCGTTTTTCTCATTGCTGACTTGCTTCTGATGCGATTCCTTGAGCGCCACGTGCCTGCGATGCGATCACTCTGCTCAACTTTATTCAGAAGAGGGTTGCCTGGAGAGAACTTGGGGACGGGTGAGAAGTCCATCCCCGGCGCTTCAGCAATTTCTTTGGGTTCCCAAATGGGCACTCCATCCATAGATTGGCTCCATATGAACAGAGAGGCATGCAAACATCACTCGTAAGAAACCAGTCACAGTTTGCGTTGCCGATTCCATCCGTACGTGTGTGCGGCCCGTCGCGCGTCACACGTGAAGGGCGTTTGCCAATTCAGAGGGTTTGTTCGCCGCTTGTCTGGTGCTGAGCATTCATCAATATGTTTTGCACCATTCGCAAAATAGAACATGCATCGCCCGACTGGTGTGCAGTACCATTTGTGTTTGGCGGGATTCCTGAAAATATGCGTGTGTGTGTGACATGCACAGGACTTGGTTGGTGGACATCTCCAAAGTAGGCATGTTGCGACGAGGATGTCCCGGTGCCTGCCAGGAGAAGACGCCTGCTAGTCAGCTGAAAAACTTCCTGGTGATGGGCCCTGCTGCTTGGACGCATCTCGCGAGCGTGCTAAAGAGCCTCTGCTAACTGGGCTAGGTCCAGTAGTGCCCTTTTACCGTTTTTTTTGGGGGGAGGGTTCCCCTACTAAAATAGACCACGGAAAAAAAAGTCGGTACCCTTATTCTAGCCTCTCTACTGGAGGACCTAGGGGGGCTGCAGGTTAGCGGGATCCAGAAGTACGAGTGTGAGAAGCAGTGCAAGGCACGCCCATCTCTGGTTCCGGGGAACTTGCGTCGCCGCTAAATGCATTGATGTGAGCATTGCTGCGCGCATCACTACGCAGTGTGTACCAATAGCACGGCATGGGTACACGCTGTGGCAGCAGCCAGAGAGAAAGCGAATGGCGCAGCTTCCTTTGTTTTGGTGACTAAAAGGCATGACTACACCGAGATGCGGGAACTTTGCCATCAACTTTCACCAGCTCCGCACATGAGAGCATCACCCCAAGACCCAAATGTCCATGTTGGTAGGTGCCAGCACGGGCCCATATAAGCACCGTTGTGTTGGCTGCCAGCACCAACGCTCGCCTTGTGGGCGCGGCTCACATGGGCGCACGCCTTGTGAACGAGTCGAGTCGCCTTGGCAGGTGTACAGCGTCGCTCCTGGCTTTAGGCGGGAGAGCAAACTCAGACTCCGAGCTTCTGAAAATTCCAGGGGGATCAACTCTGTTTTTTCGAACACCAGCCCTTTCCCCAGGGTGTTGGGTGGTCTTCTAGAAGGAAGGATCCCTGGAAAGAATGGGGAAGCTACCCCGGAAAAGATGGCGTGCCATCTTTTAGTTGGTATTTCAAGGGCGCAAGGAAACGAACCTTCTCAGGGGACCGATTCCTATTTTGAGAAGTGCCCAGTGGGTGTTCCTTTTCTTCTGACGCTTCGAGGAGAAGCGATGTTTTTGTTGTTTTCCTTGTCAACAAGGGATTGCATTTGGCAGTGCCCGAAAAGTTGCTTAGCGTACGTATATCATGCTGGGTGCTGAAAACCCATAGTTGTGATTTTTACCCAAAGAACCAGAAGGGGATGGGGAAGCTTCGGTTTTTCATACCCCCCTATTTAGCACCCAGGATACAAAGGTGAACCTTGTCGGGAGCACCCTTTTGAAGGGGGGGAAAAAAGAGACGCAAAGGGGGCCAAGAGAGGCCCTGCTTTGAGCACAGTTAGGTCTTGTGCTCCGTGGGATTGGCAGGGAGTGGCAGCAAGACATCCTGAACCTTGTTCCCAAGAAGGCGGGTTGCTCAGTTGATGGTGGCCAGTCGAGCAAAGTCGAGTTTTTTTGTAAATATGAAGGGTCCAGCACTTGTAGCACTTGTGGTTGACTGAACTTTCTTTCGCTTCGTGATGTGCGATCAACGCTCTTGGTTTCGCTTGAAGGGAGGAAAGACACGACGGTGTTGCAGACATATACTTCATAGAATAGTGTAGCGCATGTCAAGTTGAACAGATACTTCACGCAACACCTGAGCGGACGATGAACATTTGGGTATGGGTGAAAGTTCAGTCCTTGGTTCCATTTGCCAGGGCAACCCATCTGGGGGTTACCATACTTTTGTGACAACCACAGCCATAAGGCCATGGGTCAAAACCAAGTACCCCCAGTGAGCATCCCAATCCCCACACAACTAAAGCCTAAGATCGGTGACTTCACTTCCCCCAAGATGGGATCCCGTTGGTTCTGACCAGCCAGGTGGGGTTACCAGATGGGTTGCCCAGGAGGAACCAAGGGCTTAAGACCGATCAACCCACAGGTCGCTGGGACGATGAGTTCGACCCATGGCCATATGTTTGACCACCGCCACGCGACCAGACACCAGTCACCTAGGAGGCGCATGTGGGCATCGTGGCCGCCGGCACCGCCGCGGGAGGCTGAGCTTGGCCGCGGCGTACGGGGTGACCTAGGGATGTGTTGGTCCCCCCCCCCTTGTTTGTGGTTTTTAAAGGGAAACCAAAAAGAGAAAGACACATTTTTGTGTGGTCTTGCTTTTGGTTCCGGTTTTAAAGGGAAACCAAAAGGAAACTGAAGCCATTTTAACACAGTTTGTGCGCCTTTGCTTTTGGTTTTGATTTTTAACGGGACGCCAAAAGGCAAGCCGTTTTGCCAGTTTAAGGGTCTGGGAAAAGAGGCCCCAGATCGATCATTGGGATCCCTCACGCTCATTCCAAAAGCCCGGTGAGTGAAGTCATTGGAATGAATCACCCCATCTCACCGGAACACATGGAAGGTGGAGTTGTCGATCGGAGTTTCTCCTTGGCCAGGGCCTTGCACCCAATCATAGTTTTGGTCATCAGACCTGATTGTGGACTATATGGGGGTTGATCAATATTCCTGGCCCTGCAATGACCATGGGTAACTTTGGGACTTTTCAGAACACCCACACGATTGCAGTCCCTAAATTTGAGGACCACCCAGATTCCAGGCTCGTTTTTCAGTTTCCCCAAGGTAGACTTCAAGAGACTTTCCCTTGGGAACACCCAGAGGTTTAAGTCTACCTTGAAAAAAACACAGAACCCAACAATTCCACCTTTTTTTTGTCTATCTTGGAAAAAAATCCAAAAAAAGCGCCCAAACATGGAATCCAGTAGCACCCTGAGTCTACACCAAACCTCCGTGTCGACGAGGTGCGATTGGGCGCCCGCATCCTCACGGAAGGCCTCATACAGCTGGCGGCAGTCTGGGACTTGAGGTAGTTCTAGGGGTAGCTTTTCCATGCTTTCCAGAGATCCTTTTCAGGAAACCCACAAAAACCCAGGGGAAACAGACCCGGATGTTGAAAAGAAGGATGGTTGGAAAGCATGGGGAATCAACCCCTAGAGTAGGGCTGGGCGATTGCGAGTCGGAGATGGTGAAACCTCCCTTGGTACAGGGTGCTTTTCAAGCCTCGTTGGAGTGGCGAGCGTTTTTTTTTAAATGGAAACCACCAGGAACTTGATCCGGTAACCAGGGATGGTCAACAAGGAAAGTCAGAGGAGGGTTTCTAGAGCCATGGTCAATGCTTGGGTTGGTTAGAAGGGAAGCAGGAGAGACACCTTTTTCGCTTTTTCGGGGCTCCCAGTTTGACACATCTTTGTTTCCCACGATGTTCGCAGCTGAAAATGCGCAAGCGAGAGGCTTGCTTCGCGTTTCGTGAGGCCTTGACGCCAGATGGCTTCGGCCTCAATGGAAAAAGAACACCCGGAATCAAGGGGTTGTAAACGGGTAGAAGGCTTACACCAAAGGACCATGTCTTCAGATCCGATGCCGGAGCCTGTTCGAACCTGATCCATTGGTCACCCAAAAGTTGGCACGGTCACTTTGAGTTCGGAGCTGCCAGAGTGAAGCTCCGAGACTGACTGTGGGAACCATTTTTCGAGCTGACTGCGCAGTGTTTGGAAATGGCAAAATGCCGAGGAACGCCCAAGAGTGGTTGGTGGGCGCAAATCCCGATGCAAATGTCCAGCCCAGGCCGCATTCTCCTGGTTTGCAATGAGGAGGATGAAGAGGTCATTGGCGGCAAGCTCGAGGCCTGAACGCTCCATTCGCAATCTTTTCAATTGCACTGCTGTGGAGGACGTGCTAGAAGCTCAAGAATACAAGGCCTGGCTTTTTTTTGCGCGAGCGTCTCCCTGCTGCCAACTGCCATGCCATTGCTCCTCTTTGGGGTTGACATTTGGCTGTGGGTCCAAAATATGTGCCCAAAATGGAACGCTAGTAAATGGACACTTCAACTACAACCTGCTGTCTTCTGGTGGTTTAATTTTGACCCACCCATTTCAGCAAAGGAGTGTCAGTGACTCGGGTACCGTGAAGCCCCGCGGTGTCGCAGAGGAAATGGAGGCGGAGGGCGATCTCCCTCCGGATCCTGAGAAAGATGCCCGGGACCCCGAAACCCGATCCGCCGGAAAATCCGGCGATGGATGGTACCTTTGGCATCCCGCTTTTTCTGTACTCGGTGCCTCTGGAAAGACCGCAGAAAGCCCAAAGCACTGTTGCGCATCTTTTGCGCCAGAGATTTCGGCTGCGCACTTGGTGAATATGTCCAACATAGACTAAGACTGCTCCGAACCAATCGGCTGAAGCAACTAGTGTTAGCGTGTCAACTATCTGACAATACTCAGAAGGGCCTTCCAAGAGGGCGAATACCTCCGGTCCCCACTGTTTGGCATCTCAGGGTGTTCCTTGTTGACACATGAGTAAACATATTTTATTTGTTTCACGTTAGTGTGTATGGGTTGGTGTGACTTCTTGGATACATTTGTTGTCTGTATGGGATCTGTGAGCACACTCGAACGCGCGACTTTGCTTGATTCAGGGACCAATGATGCGCCATAATATTTCACGTGGCTAAACTTCCTAATCACCATCTTCATCTTTGCATCAAGGAACATGGGCAGCTGTTCGTGGCAACTAGTTGCATCTGTCTTTGAACCTAGCCATGTGTGCCATGATGAAGCCGCGTGGTCGCAGCAGTGTTTCGAAGGGCATCTGTTGGACTTTTGGACTGGGAAGCGGCGAAACGGAAGCCTGAACCCGAGCATCTTTGAGTCACGGAAGTTTTATCTTTTGGCCGAGTGATGGGATGCATGTCTCCTTGCAAATAAGCATCCTTCCAGAGTTTGTTGCTTGATGCTGCGGATAGATTTTCATGCCGCAAGCGCATCCCGATGGATGAGCCCTCCAAAAAGCGGTGCTCGTAACGGCTTTTGGGCAGCATCTCTTCACATGTTTTTGGTGGGTCGCTCCCCTGCAAACCCCCAAAAAAGGAAGGGGGGGTTCCCAAAAGGAGCTTGGTCGAACCATGGGTTCGGGCTGTATGTCGATCTGCGCTCGGCGCGAATCGGAGGCAGCTTCCCGGGTCCTGCAGCAGGGACGTTTGAGGCCAGAGTCACGGTGACACCCAGTTGGAGGGGGCTTCAGCCCCTTAGTGGACGAAGTCCACCACTAGGTAGGTGGGAAATCCCCAGTATGCATAGGGTCTTTTGCCATCCCAACTGGTGCAGAAATTCGTCCATCCGCAACTACCAAAAAGATGAGTGCCTTTCTTTCTCCCACCACCGGGGGCCTGGGTGTCTTTTCTAAGTTGCACTGAGGACGTGTGCACTTGATGGGTATGGCATGCCAGCCTGGCACAAAGGGAGCTTGGACAGGAGGGCTCCTGACGGGCTTGTCCCCAAACAGAAAAAGTATCCAGGCATTGGTGATTGGTCCTTGATTTGCCCGTTTTGTGGTTTAAACACGGGAGAGTTTGCTTCGATTTTCTCATTGGACATATCAGGACCATTGGCTGCATGTTTGTTTCCACACCACAAATACACCACGTCAGGCTGGTCCGCGTGCAACGAGACGAATGCGGTCTGGCGATCGGCGTTTGCGCAGGGCGCTTCAAGCCGCGCGTGGTGCGGGACTCAGATCTCAGCTGAGATGAGCCACGTGCTCAAAACCTGGGGATTGGTGAAGTGTAGTAAGGGACAATCCCAACCGTAAATAGTTGCGGATATCCGCCTTCTTAATTGTTTAAACGAAACTGGGTAGACCATTTTAATACCGGGTTTTGATTATGACTCAGATGGGTTTGTCTCCAAGGGCATTCATGCCTTCCTCGGGCTGGGATGGGTGGCGTTCCTTTGGTGTCCCTCTTCCACGAAAGAGGCGACCTGAAAAACAAGATGGAGAGAAGCTGCCACACAGTCGGATGGGAGCTTCATGTCAGAGGTGGTTAGTTTGCAAGCTGTTGGCATTTGGCAAATTGGTTTCCCTCTAGAATCACCCCAGCCACAAGAATTCTCGCCCGGCGATCATGGAAGCGGACGTTGGAAGACGAAAGCTTCCTTTTGGGGAGCTCGCTCACTTCCAAGGTCGAAAGGGCACTGTAGCCGGGAAAGGGACGGATATCGCGTTGGCGAGCATGGCCATTTATCCACCAACGAGCAAATGAGGCTTTGCGTCCTTTTCACATCATTTGTTAGGTCCAGTGTGACCTCTCAGGATCGCGTTCGCCGACGAGAAAACGAGCAAACTGGAGGTTTTCCTGTCACCGCGACCTCTCGGTCGGATGCTGAGGGCAAGAAGAGGCGAGCTGCGAAGGCCAAGGCTGCGGCGGCTGGCGCATCGCCGAGCGCGCGGGAGCGCCGCAGGCGCGGGAGGGCGGAGATGTCAACATTGACCCTCCCCCTTTCGCCTGAGTACGCCGCCCCAGAGGGAACAGTGCCAGCAGTGATTTGGAGCCTCTTGAGTGGGGACTTCGGCTCGCCGATACTAAGTTTTATTTCGTATTGCCAATTCTGAATGTATTGCCAAGACTTAACCTCAGATTCCCAGATCTTAGATCCGTGATACACCACTCGTTAAAAGTAAAGGCGGGGATCTTAGTTTCAAGCGGATCAGGGGCTCTTGTGGGGTGCCCCCTTGGTGTGAATGTTTGGCCTTGTTTTTTTTCTTTAGGGGATCTATCTAAAAGTCAATGGTTTACGGACCCGCTTCAAACATAGGAGGTCCCATACCTAAGTAAGTCCTTTAGCAGGAAGGGCGCAGATAAACCACACTTTGAGTTTCAAAAACTAAGGCTCTGATAAGGGTTTTTTGTGCCCGGATTCTTTTTCCTTGAAGCAAATCTATTAACGCGACCCTCGCAACAGTCACCGGAATCTCAGTTAGGAAAACAACTTGCTAAAGAAGCAATCCCAAATATACAAAAGCGGGTCCGACATTATATATTGAATATATGTACATACATCACCACATGCCCTGTAAGATTGATGTATCGACGTACATAGGCATGGGTTGGATCAACTACGCTGATTCCATAGGATGGACCAGGTCTTCATTGTTTGCAGCCGTTGATGTTGTTTGTGCCGTGCAGGTCGCGGTAGCCAGAAGAGGGAGGAGAAGCTGCTTGCTGCAAGGGTTAGATTGTGGTAGGGGCTTGACTAACAGGAACTCTACGTGAATCAGCGAGGTCCAACATGAGGGTGGCACTACTCATCTCTAAGCTGGCTACCCACAGGGGCTTGATGGGATATATAGCCTCTACATAAAGTGTAAAGTTACATGAACTATCCGATCTTTCTTTTGTTGTCTTCTTTATTTATTTGGCGGGGGGAAGGCGGCGAGTGCAAACCAGCTTGGATCATTCTCCTCATCATTCGCAGTCATGCTCAGAAGGACATCCGTGGACGATGGCACCGATGGCATCGTTTCGATTTTCCGCGCTGGAAAAGTGCGCTCCAAGCTCAAGATGTGGAAGAGCAACAGCCCAAATTAGTTCCAAATTAGACCGCTAGACTACTAAACTTCTCACGACGACCTCTCCGTAGAGAGTCGTTTTGACCATAGGTGTTCGTTTTGATCGGTTAGTTTGTTTCGAAATAGATGGCACTGGTTTAACTGGGTCTTATTCCAGTCAGGGAAATCCATCTATTTTTTCCAAAAGGTCACCCGTGGTAGAGAGGCCTTGGTGTCGTTTTGACCCGTTGCATTCCCGGTGGAACCGCCGCATCGGCTGGAAGCCGGAGCGCAAGCTCCTCATTTCCCAGGGATCGTTTATCAGGCCGGGCCTCTGACCGGTTGCCTGATGGGACGTGCGGGGGGAGGGGGACTTCCCGGCAGCATTCGGTGTGTGTTGGCCGTGTGTGCTTGTGCTTTCTTAGCTTGGTTGAAAGGAAAGCCCTTGTGAAAGGGAAACTAGAAGGGAGACCAATGTGTTAGTGCCCCCTCTCTTTTGACGCATATTTTCGTTGTTACATGGTCGTCAAGACTAGGGATCCTATCAAATGCTTGGTTCTCAGGGCGCCAGTATTGGCACATTCCCAGGTGTCGGGCGATTTGGGAGCAGCCTTAGGTGGCATTCTTAGGAGGCCACTTGTCTCCTCAGGCATCCAGTCATAGATTCTGACGGACGCAAAGGCTGGTGAGAGTCGTGAGATGACTGACCAACTCATATCGACTCTCAATGGAATGCCAGGCAGTTCTGACCTGAGGTCTGTTCGATATCCCACGTAGATTTTGGATGATGGCCCCCCAAATCTACGGGTCCGGCCTTACCGTCTCTTGCGTGTGTGCGCATTTCTACAAAGCGGGGTGGTGCTCAGGCGGCAGTGCTTCGCCATGTCATTTTTCTGGCAACTGCTGGGGCCCAAGCCGCTGGTCGAGCGCTATTACGTATCGACCAAAGCATTTGCCCCGTGCACGGTTGGTATTTCGGCCTGAAGGGAATTCTAATCAGGAACTACCTCAAACGTGGTGGCAATGAATGACCTCCTAGATGTCCACCAGAGGGTTCGCACTGAAAATCCAGGCCCCGCACATCTAGGTGGTTCCCAGCCATCCCCTTGGATTTTCTATCGTTTAGTGCTAGTTTTTATTTCCCGAAAGCATCGCGAAGGGTTCTTCCGTGCGGAGCCCTTGGACAAGTTACACAGAGCCAAGTTGCACAGAGCAAGTTGCACAGAGCCAAGTTACACAGAGCCAAGTTACATAGAGCCAAGTTACATAGAGCCAAGTTACATAGAGCCAAGTTACATCCAAGTTACATAGAGCCAAGTTACATAGAGCCAAGTTACATAGAGCCAAGTTACATAGAGCCAAGTTACATAAAGGCAAGTTACATAGAGCCAAGTTACATAGAGCCAAGTTACATAGAGCCAAGTTACATAGAGCTAAGTTACATAGAGCCAAGTTACATAGAGCCAAGTTACATAGAGCCAAGTGGCACAGAGCCAAGTGACACAGAGCCAGGTGGCACAGAGCCAAGGTTAGGTAGAGCTTGCGTAGAGCTTCGGCGTAAGCACCTATGTAAGTTAGTTTAGGTTTGAGAGGCGCCGGGGCGGGAGTTTGATCATCGCTCGGGATTGCGACCCTCTGCGGAGATTCGCGTGGTCGAGGTTCAAAAACTGAGGACTTTTTACGATTTCTGCGGTGCGCGCGCAACCCTCTGCGGAGATTCGCGTGGTCGAGGTTCAAAAACTGAGGACTTTTTACGATTTCTGCGGTGCGCGCGCAACCCTCTGCGGAGATTCGCGTGGTCGAGGTTCAAAAACTGAGGACTTTTTACGATTTCTGCAAGCCGCGCGCGACCGAGGTTAAAAAACTTAGGACTTGTCACGATTTCTGCAAGCCGCGCGCGACCCTCTGCGGAGATTCGCGTGGGCGAGGTCAAAAAAACTGAGGACTTTCTACGATTTCAGCAAGCCGCGCGCGACCCTCTGCGGAGATCGTGCGTGTCAAAGCGCTCTCGCTGTGGCGCCGTGCGAACTCTTCTTAGTCTCGGCGAACCCTCTGCGGAGATCGTGCGTGTCGAAGCGCTCTCGCTGTGGCCCCGTGCGATTTTGTTGCTCGCGAAATGGCCTTTGGAAGTTGTCTCGTGGTTTGCGCGCCTGCTTTCGCAATCCCGCGGTCGCGGGTTCGATTCCCCCCTGGTCCGCGACAGCTCCGGCTTGAAAATCGCAGCTTTTAAGTACAAACGTAGTACGCGGAGCGTGCTCCGGCAGCTCCGGCTGGAAAATCGCAACTTTTAAGTACAGACGTAGTATGCGGAGCGTGCTCCCGCAGCTCCGGCTGGAAAATCGCAACTTTTAAGTACAAACGTAGTACGCGGAGCACACTCCCGCAGCTCCGGCTGGAAAATCGCAACTTTTAAGTACAAAAATAGTACGCGAAGTACATTCCCACAGCTCCGGCAGCACTTGCGCAGAGCAACTTGCGCAGAGTCACTTGCGCAGAGCAACTTGCGCTCTGCGAATTGCACAGAGCACTTGCACAAAGCACTTGCGCAGAGCAACTTGCACAGACCAACTTGCACAGAGCACATGCGCAAAGCGCTTGCACGGAGCAACTGGCGCAGAGCACTTGCGCAGAGCAACTTGCTCAGAGCACTTGCGTGCAGCAGCGTGCAGAGATCAACTTGCGCGCAGCAGCCTGGAACAATGCAGCTTGCGCAGACTACTTTCGTGAGAAATCGTGCAGCGCAACTTGCGCAAAGCACATTGCGCTGAGCAGACTTGCGCAGAGCCACGCTTCACAGAGCCAAGTTGCGCAGAGCCACTCGCGTAAAGTAGCTTGCGTAAAGCCAACTTTCACAGAGTCAAGCTGCGCAGAGCCATCTTGCGCAGAGCTAAGTTGCGCGAGCGTGCTTTGCAGAAACTGTGGCCGTCGTGTAAGCTTTGCTATTGATTGCTTTTCCTTTTGCTTGTAATTCGTTTCGAGCTTTACGAGCTTCACTCTTCTTGTTTTAACGGATGTAACTATATGGGATCGAGCACTGCCATGTTTCCTCTCGTAGGACGATGAGATGGAGCTCTCATTCATGTGACCATACACATTGAGCATCGCCGCGTGCAGACACGCTCGCCGCAGCGATGTAAAAAGGTGTCTCCGCGGCTGGATGAGCGCCTGGGGAAAAATGCTTTCGGGCCAATCGTCCTCTAGTTTACCAAACCACTATTCGCGAGACTTTTCGCAGTGGATGGAAGGGGCGGTTTGCCCAGCTTAGGCCTCTGGAAACGGCTTCTGGCCAGCGCCAGCTGAGGCCAGAAAAGGAAGTGGAGGCCGACCTCCCGGATCCCGGGGCTGAAGTTGAGGCCCAGTCGCTTTTTGTTGGGTGGGGCGCCGTCGAAGGCAGGCTCCGTGCTTGAGAAGGCAAACGGAGACCAATCAGGTTTGTCTACTTCCCCGTGGGCATGGAAGCTTTCCGTTCGGCAGGAGAAACTGATTCAGGAAGCAGCAGCCAAGAGGCGGGCAGCGTTAGCCAAGAGACTGGGGGCGAAGAAATGAATGGAGACTCTGAGTTTTGGATCAGCAAGATCACTGAACTGCAGGATTCGCAGGGAGCTTGGCTCTCTCCGTGAAACCTGTCACACATCCTGTAGTTTGGGGTCCTTATGGAGTGGCCTCAGGGGGGTCGAAGTCGGTTCCGAGTCGGCAATCAAATCGCTTGAGCATGGCCAACAATAATGCCTGGAACCCAACGGTCACAATAAGTTACAACCAAGCACCCTAGGAACAACAATATTCCCGAAAACCAAGGTGGATTTTTGGGAGGGTGGTTGTGTTTCGGGTTAGCAGCAGCTGGGGTTGTTCCCCCTTAAATGCATGCATGTAGAGATACATACAAATGAGACGACTGATTTGGCTGTGGATCAAAACCAACGGTACCATTTTGGGGTAGGTGCACCACCCATTTTAGAACCTATTTTAGTGGGGATTGGGATGTTTACAGAGGATACGGGATTTTGACCCACGGCCAAATGAGACTACTGTTTTGAGCCCATAGTGCTCATACCTCAAATGAGCAACTTGAGCCGTGTCTTGGCGGAAGGCCGGGACTGCTTGCTCTGGCAGAGGCAGGGTTGAGCCTCTGACCAGCCCGTGCTCGGTGTTTGCTCGTCTCGTGCTGGATGTTTGTTTTCTCCGAGGAGACCTGCTTTTCTTGGATATTTTCCCGGTTTGAAGGGTGCAAGAAAAAGAAACAAACCACCACCCACGCCTTTTTTTAAGTAAGAATCTAACTCCTTTGACAGCCACCGAACTCTCCCTGACCTGACCTTTTTCCGATTCCGGTGCACGAGACAGGACCATGAGCCTAGCGTACAGCCGGGCCCTCAGGGCTGGCTATCTCCAGCCGTTCGATCGAAATCGGCGGGGAAGGAGAAGCGGAATGAACCGGTTGTGGGAGATTCCCGAATGGAAGGACACCAAACATCGGAGGTCGGATGGACGGTTGATGGGGGGATCAGGCCTGTCCCTGAGCACCTTTTTTTATATTTGTTTTTCTCGGGTTCGTTTGATCTCTCGTTCCCCGGCGATTTCGCACCAGGAAGTTGAGGTCCGATGACTTAATACGGGGGCCAGTGCCAGGTATGCCAGGTTTCCTTTTTCTCTCTCTCTCTCTCACTTTTCTCGGAAAAGGGAAAACCAAGCGGACAACATATCAGGGTCGGTCCGAATCTCGATCTGTGTTTTCTGGAAGGGATTCGGGGGGACTCACGAAAAACCAAGCACAAAGCAGAGGACTCACTCATTTTCCCACGTCCTCTGAGGGGGAACAATTCATTTTGACCATGGCTCCGGTGGTTCTGCTAGAGCTATTTCGGGCTGGCAAATCACAACCGGCAACTGACCAAAAGTGCTGGTCGTGGATTCTTAAATTGGGGGGGGCCACCCAAATGTCCTAGGGGCCCAACCCAGTTTCCCAAGCCCTTGGTGGAAACAATTTTGCCCGGGGTTTTCCTATGAATCTGCCAGCGAAGTGCGCACTTCTCCCGGTGTTGAGTCCTGATACTCGAAGGAGTTGCACATTGGCAGAGACGGCTTGCCGCATCCCAATGACCAGCACCTGGCAAACCGACGCGCCCCATTTGCTCAAGCAGTGAATGATGAGAAACAACGGATGTCATTGCTTGTGGACGAGAATGTCAAGGTAGAATGCCCATTTCATGCAGGCATTTCATGCAGGGAGTAGGAACTTGCCAGCATTTGAGCAGGTTTCAGAACAGGTTGGCTCAAAGTAAAAACGGATACAACCGGAAATGCCACTTGCACATCTGTTTCTGACCTTGTCTTGGAATATTACAGTATTTTGGCAAAAGGGGCCAAATTTCTGAGATTGGTGTCTCAAAATAGGGACCCCCCGAAAAGGCTGGGGGGAGTTTCCTTTGGCCAAGCCAAAATGCCAAGCCAGAAGTGGAACTCGACCTCCCGCTTCGGGCGGTCCAAACGCCCCAAGGTGGCCACCAGTGAAGCCCCTTCCGCCCGCGGGCGCCTTAGAGCGATCGCATTCAGCCCCCTCACAGTGCACTGCTTTAAGGTCGGGAAGGCGGCGCTCCCATGTTTTTCCAAAAACAAATCAGGGCTGGGAGATGGGCATGTGAAGTCTGAAGAGAAGCAAGGTGTACTCCCGCACCACTCCCATGCCGCCGTCCCGCTCCCGCAACTGCTGTGGTTGTTCGGTTGGACGTTTGAGCAGGTTTAGCAAGAGCCACCGCGAGGGTAGGATATGAAAGGGCAAGACAAGATATATTATTTTTTTGGGTACCTCCTTTTGAAGTTGCTTTGTTTTGTTCATCCTTAAAAGGACGCCCACCCATTTTTGAGAAACCTTTGTTTTACACCAGACTGTGTGTGTGTGTGTGTGTGAAGACCCCGTTTGAAGCTTGCTTGTGGCAAGCCACAAGCACAAATTGCAAAGCAACTTGGAGTGCCGGTGGAGCATGAGAATTGGGACCGCTCATCTGCCAGTGCTTCTAGACGAGGGCATTCATGATTCTGGTTGCAGTTGTTTGCAGTTGAATGCTTCAAGCCAAGGCAGAGGGCGACCGCAAGTCCGGCCATGGTCTCAGAGCAGATTTGGATCTTTTGTTCTGATGGAATGCCCAACTTGTCAGATGCTCACTCCTGAATAGTCAACCCCACACTGGTTTGAAGGGTCCCGTTTTAGTGGGGAATCCTTTCTTTGAGGGTGACCAGGGTTAACATGCTCAGCATTACTTTCTATCAATGCTACATGCATTCAGTGAGAGAAACATGAGGCGGCCGTGGCGCTGGTCGGCTTCGTTGGCTTGAGTTTGCCAAGGTTAGCACATGGCGCAGCATGACAGACCACCCAACTGCCACAATCGAGTCCCAGGGAAGCGAAGGCGTTCGTTGGTTTGGAGTGCGACTCGGTGGCTGCACAGTCAGCCAGGTTTGGTCTTTGCTTCCAGCCGATTGGAACTCCAGCTTGGGGATTCCATGTCTTGAGCCCTGGATGAACGACTTTTTCGCACCCAAGCAACCCTGGAAGGATGATTCCCTTGAAATGCTTTGAACCGTCAGTGGGTGAACAAAAATCCCGGTTCCGGCCGGGCACTCCGAGCTTGAGGCAGGACCCGCGGGGGTCGCGACCGCGATCGGAGGAGGAGCAGATCCACTGAAGATTCCGGCAAGCATCACGGGGGGGAGGGGGGGTTGTCTCGTTTGAGGAGTCGGACCCCCCAAAGTGGCCAGACGGTTTTCCTTTGGGTTTCCCTAGGCCACAAGAGGGGTGCCGTCAAAGCAAGAGACGCCGATATTTCCATACACAAGAACAAAACGAAGACATGACGGACAGACGGTGGAAAGCTGCACGCAATGGAGACCCTTGGACGGACTTTGAGCAAGCAACACTTTCGGCATACGGTCGCGCAACTTACGGGAGAGGTCTAGGTTGCAGCATCATGTAACATATATGAGTTTCGGGTTCTGAACGTTTCGAGCCGCTCGTGAATCCAGCGAGTGTACTCGAAACGGCCAATGCAGGAGAGGTGGAGAGAAGGCAGAAGAGGCGAAGGACCAGTTGCGAACGGCGGAGGTGAGCCAACGTTACAGTCTTTGGCTGCAGAAGGCATTGGTGACCGGTGTGTTGCTTGTGTTACTGGGCAAGATCTGCGTGGAACCCAAGGGGGATCTCCCAAGGGAGATTGCCGAAAGCAGATTCTGTCAAAAAAAACAACAAAACAAAACAACAAGAAAAAATGGCAGGAGCTGTGGTTCGTGGGTTTCACAGACCGACGTTTTCCGTGCCTGCAGCATGAACCGGCCAGGAGCCCAAGGCTGAGGATAGGCCAAAGAAGAGGGAAGATGGGTGGGGCCCTCAAGCCTGACGCAAGCATGTGAGGGTTTTTGGGGTGAGGGGGTGCCCGTTCTTAAGTTTTTTGCCGAAAAGAACATTTTTGGGGTCGCCCTAGTTTGACACATTTGAGGGGGCCAAGTCTGTGATAGGAATCTGGGAACATTAGCTGAGGTTTGACGCTTGGGTCACTTGGGTCGCTTCCTTGCGGGCAAATGGAAATTGAAGTCTGCCACTTAGGTCGCTTGTCACTCAAACTTGCGGTAACATGAATTGAAAACTGCCACTTGGGTCACTCGGGCCACTTGGGCCACTTGGGCCACTTGAGTCCGTAGTCTTCGGCAAGTCTTTGGGAAGTCTTCCCGTAGACTTTTGTTCTTTGAGTTGCCTTCATGCATCTTCCAGCGGCCACAAATCGCATGTTTGGTACGGCCCCCCAACGGGCTGAAAGCAAGGCGAACGATAAAATCTAGGCTCGGGCAAAATGCATTTGACCCAAGTGACACAAGTGACCCAAGCAACCCGAACGCCTCACAGTTTTCCTGAAAACAAGGCTAGCGATTAGAACATCTATAGGCTCGAGGTGCCAAAATGCATTTTCCTCTTGGCCGTCCGCCTTGGACCTCGATGAACTTAGCCCACAGGCAAGCGACCCAAGTCACCCCCGACGTGGTTGGCGTACGCGAGATCGCCTGAAATCAGGGGTCCAACTCTAACTCTTTAAATTGTTGGCCTCCAAAGAGTGGACCTCCTGGAAGCGGCCCCCGCAAAGAACCCCAACGCTAACTAGTCGCTTTTTCAGGCCTGGTGGGGATTGGAGAATCGGCCCCCATTGGGGGATGTTTGGCAACCAGAGGAATTTTGGCACCGCCCGAATCATCTGAGGTGGTTACCCAAGGCAGAGTACGAGGCCAAGAAGCGCGAGGAGCGTGCACAGCGCAGGGCACCGAGTGGACGTGTCTCTTAATAGGTGAAGCGTTTTTTTTGTGGTCGCCCTTGAAGACCACGCCGAAAAGGGGGCACCCTCAGCAACACACATTCAAGTGGCTGTTGTTTCTTCTAAACAAGTACCCTTTTGTCCACATTGCCATGGAACCGGACGTGTTTTGGGCCAGAAAGACTGGGTTCCGTCAAAAGGGAAATTATGGATTCCATGTTGGAGAGGAGGGTGGGTCATGTTTGCTCCTGAATTCACCGAGGAATCGACATCACATGTCGGGTTTAGAGTACTTTATCGTGAAGGGACTCCGGGTGATCGGTGTCCTTTGGGCTAGGGGTTCTGATTGCCTTGAAAAACCCACATCATTGGCTTGGTGCACATTGCTAAAATTTTCCGCACAGCCACATGAGCCATAATGAAAACCCGGGCAAGTGAAGGTTAGTAAGGAGAAATTGTAGCCAGAATGAGTTGCGGCCGCCTCTGTAGTTCTTTACATTGGTTTGGGTGCACCATTTTACTACCGATCGGCTTTGATTGCGACTCACGTGACTTTTGAAACCGCAGGGCTCGAGCTTTGATTGGACTCTGAGGCCGAAATGAGGCAGGCAAAGGCCGCAGCCTAAGCTTGTTCATTCCAAACATTCCGGACTGAGCTACCGGTGTCCGAAATCTGCTCCAAAACCTTGCGTGTTTGTTTTTTGTTGATGTGCTTGTTTTGGCGTAGAACAACGAATGAAGCAGAATCTGAAAGTGTTATGTTTTTGGCGTACCCCTTGGGCTTGGTCACCTTCCTTTCTGCCCACGTTAAGGCCATTTGAGGTTTTCGTTTCCCGAAGCGCCCGCCAGCTGACCGAGGAAAGGCCGGCTTCAAAGGAGTGGCCGCTGTCACATGCCATTTTCGGCACCACGGGAGAATTGTTGGACACCGCTGCCGCTACACTTGTGATCTGTGATAGGGGACAGTAGAGCATTTGATCTAGAAAACGGTTTGGAGGCGCTTTTGGCGGATTTCACCTGTTGTTGCCCCTCTTGGTCCCTTTTTGAGTATTGTTTTAGTACTCCTTTAATATCCTGCAGGGGTGGATCCGCAAAAGCCACATCCAAACCGTTTTCTAGACTTGAAGAGGGGTTCTTTACACGTACATACAGTGCGTTTGACTGGTTGTGCCTGGCTTGACAGCGAAGCTGTACCACTGGCAAGCCACTGATGGTTGTTTCTGGCTTGCCCCCTTTCAACTGGATTTGGGGAACCATCATTTTTGCAGTTTCCACAAGGGCAGAGACGCCATGGCCCATTCGTCTCTGTGTTTGACAGACGGAGACGCCATGTCACATTGCTCTCTGTGCAACTGCCCCCTTTTCTTTAAACTTGGTGCCTTTGGGGAATCCAAAAGAACTCCAAGAGGATACCAACATGTGTGTGTGTGTGTGTTACCCGCTTTTAGCTTGGTTCCTTTGGTTGAAACCCAAAGGAAACCAAGAGGAACCCACGGATTTTGGGGGTTTGAGACGCCTTGTGCAGGAGAGGAGGGCAAAGGCTTCAAGGGCAAGGGCTTCAAGGGTCCGCGCCCTGGGCGCGAGGATCTTCGATTGGGTTTTGCCTCAGGGGAAGGGACAGGTTTGTGGTTGATCACTCGGGGTTTATTTTCGCTGTACAGGGACTCCCCTCTTAAAAAAGGGGGGTGCGTCTTTGGGAGGGCCTTTCTAAGTTGTATCACAGGAGTGGTCATCTCCCACCGCCCTGGTGAGGAATGACCCAGACTTTTTGGGAATGAGCCGTTTGGGGATGGCCTCAACGGAAGCCAAAGGGATGGTGGAAAAAGGGTCATTTTCCCTGATTCCCTGACCAGCAAGAGAAAGACGTGGTGTCAAGTGCATGAACCAGGGTCTCGAAAACATGACTTCAAGGGTTGGTGTGGGGATGGTTGCAAAGCTACGATTTTCTAATGCTGATTCCCCATGCTTTTCAACCATCGTTCTTTTTAATAACCAGCCGTTTTTTGCTGGGTTTCCGGAGGTTTTCTAGAAAGAAGGATCCCTGGAAAGAATGGGGAAGGTACCCTCAGAAATCTTCTTTTGGGGAACCTCCTTGGAATCAGGCACTTTGCCACTGCTTTGGCCCGAGCTCCCTTCAAGGTGATCACAGTCAGGCGGACAAGCCGACCGACCGGGGTAGTGGAACCGGCCTGCTTTGATCAGCTGCGCGCTGGTCATTGCCAGACTTGGCCATGGGTCAACACCCCGTACCCCCAGTGAACATCCCAATCCCCACAAAAATAGACTAAAGTGGGTGGCGCAGCTACCCCACAATGGCACCATTGGTTTTGACCCATGGCCACTTAAAGAGCTTCACGCTTTCACTTTTGGCGCTGTTGGTTTGCCTTCCTGTTCCCTTTCAACCAGCAAGCACTCCACTTGAGGGGGCCCGTTCAACTGGTTTGGCCCAACTGGTATCTAACGAGAAGCGCTGGACATCAACTATTTCTCATAGGGACAGGGGGCCTTGGCTGCATTGAACAGCATATGGGCGTCTTTTTTGAGAGTATCCTTTTTGGGAAGGAGAACTCCTTTTTCTTTTTGGGGGTTTTCAGGGTTCTCTATTGAGAGACGACCCATAGGAAAAGTGAACCATGGCAGGCCGTGGTGGCAGAGGCTGGCGGGCTCCGTGAATGTCAGCCCCTGAAATTTATGTTTGAAATGGTTCTTAGCTTATGATTTTTTTATCAGAAGGTTTTGATTGGTCCCCTGTTGGTTTTGCAGGTTGACATCGGTTTTGGGTTATCCCTTATTGGTTTCTGGGGGTGAACTCACATGAGCTCGCATGAGCTCACCCTTCGGTTTGACTGAGAGCCTTTGGGGTTCGGTTGGGGTCCGTTGGTAAAACCAACAAGAGGTTTGTCAAAAATAAAACATCTTTTGGCATCCCCCCTCAACAAAGAAACTGTCACAGGGCAGCATCAGAGTGCAGGAAGGTGCCATTCGTTTGACAACTTTTTTGTTTTGAGGGGACAAAACGTTTTACCCAACCCAGCCCAGCCCAACCCAACCGACCCAGTCCGTCCCAACCGACCCAACCCAACGAGTCTGGGTGAGTCCCCCCCCGTCTGCGCGCTTGGAGGTGCTCGGGCTTGGGAGGATCTGCCGCCAAGGCCGCCTCCACCGGAGGCGGGAGCAGTAGGGCAGTTCGTTCGGCGTCGGTAGGGAGCCCTTCGAGACGAAGTCATATGGGTGCAAATGCCTCTATGGAGAAACACCTATGTGCTTGTCTATGGGTGTAAATGAGCTGGAACGCTATGGACATGTTTT